TTGACGTGGCGCGTGTAGCGCTCACGTCTGTGATGAGGTATAGAGGATAGCTATTGGAGGAAGTAGGGTTCGGCGAAGACCAGGGGGAACGTACGCTGGAAAAAACAGAGAGTCGGGGAGAGAGGTCGTCGAAGACCAACAGGAGAGGAGCGGTTCAGAGCGGGCGGCTTGCTTCATCTGCTTCATCTGCTTCATCTGCAATGGCTTCAACACCAAGTGCGCCCCCCCCACCAGCGGGAGATGGTCGTTCAACGTCAACCGGGGGGGGGGCATCAAACAGACCACGGGGGAATGCTCAGGACGAAAGTGAGAGTGATAGAATTAGAGGTGGACCCCACTGCTTTGCGGCAAAGCTTTGGAAGACGATTTGTGAAACCCCACCCCTTTGCGACAAAGGTTTGGAAAACGCTCAGATATGACGTGGCAGACGTTTTCACTGAGTTTTGTTTTGCCCGTTCCGTGCGGTTCGCCCATTCTGAGGGAGTAGGGGGGGGCCACCTCCCTCGGTTTGGCCATCCCATGTGGAAAGGAGAGCCAGGGATTGGGTGAGAACCGAGACAAGTGGATGTGAAGTTTCCATATAGGGAAAGTTTTCCCTATCCGGTAACCGGCACCAACGGAACTGCCGAAAATTTGTGCTGCAGTGGGGTCTGCTTTTCTCTTTCCCACCTCCGGGGCCTACGATTTGGGTTTAGCGGAAGCTTTCCAGGCGGAAAGCTTCCGCCAGGCAGTGAGCTCCACCTCTTAGACTTGTACTCGACAAATGTTAAATGATGGGATCTTCCCAGAATCGAACATTAATTTTGGAAACACAGAGATAGTAGACGGGGTGGGGGTCTTAACACTAAGGGACGAAGTTGACGACGCGACGGTCACCTGGTTGAAGTCTAGAACAGTGATAGTTAATTTTGACGAGCCGGCAATTAGCTTGAGCGTCAACCAGCGAGAGAGGCTGATTAGGATATACGAGGACGCTCGGTACACGGATGCAACGGTGAATCCCTCCCAGAAAAGGGGGAGGACACATGGGGAGGGTCCCAAGGTCATGGCGTATGTGGCAAGGTTGGAGAGGATTGCTCAATGGATGATTATGAAGGGGGAGGACCGTATTCCGTCCAGAAATGGCATGATCAAGGTGTTGTTTAAACCTTGGATGACAAAGTCAGAGCTGGATGAAATGAGAGAATCTGACAGGGCGGGAAAATTCCGAATAATAGCATTGAGAGTACCTCTTGTCGCTCTTGAAGCCCTGCCATCACTACGCTATGCAGTCGAGCGCCTCATGGGACGAATTCTGGTTATGCATCCGCCGGAGAAACGCCCGGAAGAACCAAGGCTGGGTAACATTAGAATCGATTGTCTACCGGAAGTTTGACAAACGTTTGTGGAATGGGTGGTGATGAAGAAGCCAAGAGGAGGTCACTTGGAGGTGCAATTCGCAAACCAAGATTCACCATTCTGCAATAAATGCCTATGGTGGTTTCACGATGAGTTCGACACTGAATATCCCCGTTTCAATGAACCTATGCCGGAGAACAGGGCAGGGAGAGGTCGTGGAAGAGGGAGGGGGAGAGGAGGCAGAGGAAGGGAGGCTAGACCTTCAGCGGGCGGAAGATCCGGGAACGAAGGGGGCAGAGGAAGCGGAGCGAGGGGTGGGGGGGTGGGGGGGTGGGGGACAGGAGGGGCTAGGGAAAGGCAGGGGGGTGGGACTGTACCGCAGGGCCCAGCCACAGCCACAGCCCCAGCAATTGCTTCAGCCTCCCAGGCCCCCCAACCCACCACCTCCAGACTACTACAAATAGGATATCACAGGCCTGGCCAAGATTCCCAACAAGCGGCGCTATGACGTTCTGCTCCAGCTGGAACACAGCCAATCGCAGGACATATGGAGCCAACGATGCCCCCGTCTTCTCTCAATGCTCAAGGCAAAAAGATGACGTCAAATTCAAGTGGAGTGGCGAGAGGGGGAGTTGGAGGAGGCTCGTGCCGCGGCCAAACAAGCTCAAATACTACGATGGGGGCGAAAGACAACACGGGGAACTCGCTGGCATTGGCGATTAGACCAAGCCAGGGGATGGTGGGCCAGCAGGGGCTAACTGCTGCACCGGGCTGGGGAGGGGGGAGAGTAGAGCTCGGGGTAGAGAACGGATGGGACCCGCGCCTGACTCCCCCGCTACCTCCACCGCCCTTGATGATGGGAGCATTGATCAAGGGGTCGGGGCTGCGTCCATTAGGTCCTTCAGGCCCTTCAATGACCCCATGGGGAACGGGTACCAATTATCAGCCTACAAGATCCTGGTGGATCCAAGTACAACGTTGCAACCATGTTAGTGGCCCCAGCGTGAACTGGACCATAATTGGTCTGGTAGGCCTTCTGATTTATGGGGTGGGCCATGGGCTGCAGGGGCAAGACGAGAGGAGTGGAGGTAGGAGGTGTGATCAGGACCCTGATCAGGCATACGTGACAGTGCACATCAATTCGGAATTTGAGTACGAAAACAAAAGGGAGGAAGGTGAGGGGGGAGTTGCAAGGGGAGCAGGAAGAGCAGAAGGAGTGAACCCAACACAGAACCAAGACAGAGAGGTGAGTACGGCCGAAGGCAATGTTTCCACAGTTTCCACAGTCCCGCAACTGGACCAAATCATATGGGACCCAGGTACCAGAATATCCCTTCTCGCTCCAGTGAAGACGCGAAGCATGGGCGAGCAAGGAACTAGCGAACCCACAAAGGAAACAGAAGGCGGTGAAGGAGAAGTGGACTTCTTTAACATCTTGTCACCACCAAAACCGAAACTTTCAACTTAATCTCAGGCAGGGGAAGCGAAAGGTGGAGCTAAGCAAGCGGGACACGGACAGGGACACCACTACGTGGTGTTATTCTGCACATCACTGGCCCCCCAGGGCATCAAGACTTTGGCGGGTAAGACACGGGCGGGGGAATTTGCCCTCCCCGCAGTTCATATGGACAGCTTCCTAGGCACGAAGGACCAAATACGCGGATCAGTGGACAAGTTCGCAGGGGGACGGTTTCCGTTCAGACTGATTTCAGGGATAAGAGTGGGGAGGAAAACGGTGGACATCGGGGAAGAAGCCAGCGTCCAGGTTCACCTGGCGTTTGTGGACATTAAGATCACACAGGAGTGTGCTAACACACTGGAAGGTCAGGGGATCCACTGGCTACCGCACCAGTGGTTCGACTCAGGCACGTCAGATGAAGCTGCGAGGATCCACCTGGTGGGCAGTGTGAAGGTGACACTGGTCGCAGATTTATGTAAATCGCTGCCAGGAGACAAGAACCCATGGACCCCCCACTTCAAAAACTTGTTGAACATCCCCTGGGAGAGCCAACAGGAAGAAGGACAGACGCGGGGGCGAAGAAGGAAAGGAAGAAGCAAGTCTGTAGGGGAAGAACGTTGGATCCAATCGACTGTTGGGCCCTCTGCTCTGAATGGATAGAGTAATAATTGCATCCTGGAACGTCCGCGTTTTGGGGGACTCCGCAGACAGGCAAAAGAAAGCAAGACTGAAGACTTGGATCCACCAGAACCGGGCGCAGATAATCTTTCTGCAGGAAACCAAGATGGATGAACTGAAAATCGAACGCTTTGCAAGATGGTGGAAAGGCTCCCAGTGGTGGGCCCCGTCAGAGGGCACCCGAGGTGGAACAACTATCTTGCTCCACCGCAAGCTGGAGGCAGAAGTATTGGAAAGTGACTTCCACATATGGGGCCGGTGGGTTTGGGTCAGGATCAGACTAGGGGGCCAGGAATGGACCCTGATGACTGTGTACGCCCCCTCCGTGCCAGCCGAGCAACGCTATTTTTTTAGAGATCTGCCAAACTTCACTCCCAAGGCAGCTAACCTGGTGATGGCTGGAGATTTTAACTCGCTGTTGCATCCCGGCCTAAACTCGCCGCAGGAAGCTCCCAGAAGATCAGACGCAGTT